AAATCAACGTGCAGAAATCTGTTGCATTTCTATATGCCAATAATGAAGCAGCAGAAAAAGAAACCAAGGAATTGGTCCCAACTGCACCAAAACCAATAATATACCTAGGAATAAACCTAACGAAAGAGGTAAAAGATCTGTACTTTGAAAAGTATAAGGAAATTGAAGAGGACACAAAGAAATGGAAAAGCATTCCATGTTCATGGATCAGAAGAACATTGTTAAAATGTCTATACTACCCAAAACAATTTACACATGTAATGCAATCCCTTATCAAAATTACATTATTAAGTATTTACCCACAGGATACAAAAATACAAATTTGAAAGGTTACATACACATCCAATGTTTATAGCAACATTATCAACAATAGCCAAACTATGGAGAGTGCCTAAATGTCCACTGGCTGATAAATGGATAAAGAAGATGTGGTATGTATATATATCTTGCCATTTGCAAAGATGTGGATGAAGCTAGAATGTATTATGCTAAGCGAAATAACCCAGTCAGAGAAAGACAAATACCATATGATTGCATTCATGTGGAATTTATGAAACAAAGCATATGAACATATAGAAAGAGGAGGAAAAAACAGAAGAGAGGGAAACAACCACAAGAGACTCTTAATGATAGAGAACAAACTGAAAGTTGATGGAGGGAAGTGAGTAGGAGATTGGATTGATGGGGGATGGACATTAAGGAGGGCACTTGTTTTGATGAACACTGAATGTTGTATGTAAGTGATGAATCACTAAATTCTACTCCTGAAACTAATTTGCACTCACTGATCATTAACTAATATGTTAACGAACGAAAATCTAAGTAAATTTATAAACAAGCAAACAAATAGTATAAAACTGGAAAAAATCAACAAAATTCCAACTACAAAAATGAGAAACCTTCATTGTAGGAGGACTAAAAGTAACAGGCAGTATTTGTTAATTATCAAATAAATGGTATGGAATAGATGCTTGTCTCCCAAGAGAAGGAGAAATCATGGTAGAAGCCTTCTTCAGGAAGGAGAGACTGTAAAATTTAAACAAGAAGAGTACATATCCTATGACTTATTAAATTATAATAAATGTCAAAGAAACTTGCACATGTATAGCAAAATATTGGCGACAACCTACATGCCCACTGACAGGAGAATAAATCAATGGTGGTATACTCACAGAATGACATAGTATATACTGGTGAAAATGAGTGAATCACAGCTACAGGAACAACACGGATGGATATGGTAGCATGATGTGAAATAAAAAAGTAAGTCCCAGTATATATATATAGTATGATGTCCTTTTTCTGAAATTTACAAACAGGCAAAACTAAACCACGTATTGTTTAGAAGTGCACACACAAACACACACACACACACAACACTACTGGGAAAATAAAAGGAAGGGAAGGATAAAGCAAAAGCAAAATCACAGGATATTGGTGGGGGTGTCAGGGGGCAGGGGATGGAACAGAATAGGAGCATGGAGTGAGATATGTTACTGCAAATGCTTAAGTTTGGTAACACATTCATAATTGTGCAATTAAAAAATAGAAGAAATGTGGATGCAGAAGTGTGCAAGACATTGTCAGGACCGTGAGTATAATGGAGATACAAGAGCAAATAATTTCTATATGGTATTATGGGTAGATATTATTGGAAAATGGACTGGATCTGTATACGGGAGGACTTTTCCCCCTGTTTCTTAATTTTTATTTATTTTTAATTTTTAAATTTCAGTATAGTTAACATATAATGTCACATTAGGTTCAGGTGTACAGCACAGTGATTCAGCTTCTCAATACATTGTGCTATGCTCACGTCAGATATAGCATCATCTGTCACTGAATATGGTAGGACTTTGAACCAGGGAATTTCATTTTATTTTTTATTTTTGCATGTTGATATATTTTTATTATTTAGAATAATTGAGGAGTGTGTTTATTTAAATATGATTAATAAAAGCCATAAATTTGACTTAGTGTCTTTGAGGTTCATTCCAGTTGTGTGATATGTATGCATTAAATTTTTTAATTTAAGTATAACTGACACACAATGTTCCATTAGTTTCAGGTGTACAACATAGTGATTCAACTTTTCTATCTGTTATGCTATGCTCCCCTCAAGTGTAGACACTATCTGTTACCATTCAAAGCTATTACAATATTATTGACTGTATCCTCTCTGCTGTGCCTTTTATCCTTCTGACTTATTTATTCTATAACAAGAAGCCAGTATCTCCCACTCCCCTTCTTTTGTCCATCTTCCCACCCACCTTCCCTCTGACAACCATCAGTTTGTTCTCTGTATTTATAGGTCTGATTCTGCTTTTTGTTGTAAATTGTTTTAATTTAATTTTATAAATATGTATTGAGCCTTACTACTGGTAATCTAATTATGTATACAATGACTAATACTGGTCTGTGATTATGGAAGTAGGAATGTAGAGGACTAGCCACAAGATACATTGCTAAAGGCTAGCAGGATAGGATTAAGTGGCCTATTGGATATGGAAGGTAAAAATTAGGGAGGAGTCAGATTGACCCTGGAGTCTCATCTGGCTGAGTGATAGAGTTAAAAAAACAAAACGGAAACAGGGAAGATGACACAGGATATCTTGAGTTCAATACAGAAATTCACTGTGAGATATTTAGTTGGGCTTTGAGATACCTTTGATATACCTGGTTTTCTGTGGGGAGCAGTTGTCAGGAGCTTCAGTCTGCTATAAAAGGGGAATAAAAATTTCCCCCATAGATAAGTGAACTTTAAAAAAAATGGTTTTTTGTTTATTTTTGAGAGAGAGACAGGGCACAAGTGGGGTAGGGGAAGAGAGAGATGGAGACACAGATTCCAAAGCAGTCTCCAGGCTCCAAGCTGTCACAAAGCCCAACACGGGGCTTGAACTCATGAATGGTGAGATCATGACCTGAGTCGAAGTAAGACGCTTAACTGACTGAGCCACCCAGGTGCCCCATTAAATGAACTTTTGATTAGTTCTTGGTTTTGTGTTTATGTCTTTTAGCTAAACTACACATCCAATTTCCAAAGCCACATCCTGATCAAGAAGTGAGATTGTCTTCAAAACAATTTCAGAAATATATAGAGTTGGTTGTATCTGAACTCAGGGGCAATGAAGATCATGTTCTGGAAAGTGTAGTCGAGTTTCTGATGAATACTTTAGAAAGGAGCCATACTGAGAATCTGAGGAATTGTGCCAGGTGGAAGTGGCTGCACCAAATCCAACATGCTGCAGAGACAAGTGGGGTATCCTTGGAGCCAGTATACACCGAAACCTTTAAGGCTCTCACTCAGGTATGTTTTTCTTTTTTTTTTTTTTTTTTTTTTAATGTTTTATTTATCTCTAGGAGAGAGAGAGAGAGACAGCGTGAGCAGGGGAGGGTCAGAGAGAGAGGGAGTCACAGACTGAAACAGGCTCCAGGCTCTGAGCTGGCAGTCAGCACAGAGCCCGACGCGGGGCTCGAACCCACGAACCGCAAGATCATGACCTAAGCGAAAGTCGGTCGCTTAACCGACTAAGCCACCCAGGCGCCCCTCAGGTATGTTTTTCTAGCGTGACATATAAGAGGAAAAAATTCCTCTCGTAGGTGATGTTCAATGGTTGCAGAGGGGGAGCACACTAAATTCTCTTGAAATATCACTGGGTACTGCTATAGATGTTTTATTTATTCCAAAACATTACAGTGACCCAAAGCCTGGGAAAGATGAAGCTGGACTGATTGTAGGTTGGGAAGGTAGCAGTAGAGAGGAAGGGCACAAGAGACAGAATTATGTCTTGGGATTTCTAATTTAATTTATGCTGAGAGTCAATAAGATTAGAACAGACAATAGACTAATAGTGAAAAATATCAGGAAGGAGATGGTGCAGGCATTTGAAGCTACATTTCCCCCTTGAATAGTGTTTTAGGAGTCAGTTTCGAAAAGGAAATATTTAGGGGCATCTGGGTGGCTCAGTCGGTTTAGCGTCCAACTCCTGATTTTGGCTCAGGTCATGATCCCAGGGTCATGGAATCGAGCCCTGTGTGGGGTCCTCGCTGAATGTAGAGCCTGGGTAAGATTCTCTCTTTCTCACTCTCCCTCTGCCCCTCTCCCCTGCTTTCACACACACACATACTCTCTCTCTCTCTCTCTCTCAAATGAAAAAAAATTTTAAACTATTTAAGGGGCACCTAGGTGGCTCAGTCGGTTAAGTGTCTGACTCTTGCTTTCAGCTTAGGTCATGATCTCATGGTTCATCCAATGGAGCCCCACATTGGACTCTGTGCTGACAGCATGGAGCCTGCTTAGGATTCTCTTTCTCCTCTCTCTCTGCCCCTCCCCCACTTGCTCACTCTCTTACTCTCTCAAACTAAACATTAAAAATTTTTAAAGAGAAACTATTTAAATCATAAAGTCATTATGAAGTAGGATCCAATATCACACAATATTTCATTGCACTGCCTAGAAACAAGCTGACACTATTATAGAATTGTGTCACTTAAAACACATGACTCTGATGGGCCACTGCCCACAGCTTTGCCACCCCCTCAGACACTCCCAGCTGGCTGATCCTCCCAGACAGAAACAGCATGGCTGCCTTATATATATACACATATATATATTCATATATATGTATGTGTGTGTGTATATATGGCAGCCATGCTGTTTACATATTTATTTATTTATATTTATACATATACATATATATATAAGAAATCTCTCACAGATTCCACTAGTCCAGGGAACTTGGAGCCATTCATCTCAGCTAAATAGCAACACTTAATTAATGGATTCATCAACTGAATGGCTGGATTTTCCAATGTACTTTGAAATGATGTGACCAGGAGCAGAAGACTAACCTAGAAAAATAAGTATTACTCCAACTGACTTCAGAGATCTGTGGTACCATAAGAGAAATATTACTACATTTGCTAGTTACTCTATAGATCTTTTATGTAGAAAAGAAAGAGTAAAGGAAAAAGAAAAAAATACATGAAAAGCAAATCCAGCGCTGACTTCAGCAGCACATGCACTAAAATTGAAACAATACAGAGATTAGCATGGCCCCTGCTCAAGGATGTCACGCAAATTTGTGAAGTGTTCCATATTTTTCCAAAAATAAAAAGAGAAAAGAAAACCAAACCCAAATATATAGGAAGAGAATGCAAATATCAAGGAAAGCATCTTTGATGTCCCCAACTTATGGACATGCTCAATATATGTGTTAACACAATATTATTAATAACATAATAATATTTTAGGTACAGAGAGTTTTCTGTAATTTTAATTAGAAATAGTAGTTACATAAAGTCTGTAATTGGGGGCCCCAAGAAATTTTTTCCTGGCATAAATGAAATATCATAGCCAAACTATGTTAAGAATTCCTTGAGAGTGTTTTTTCCTACATTCACTTCATAGTAGATGGTGAAAATGTACTCAAGAAATAGGAGTTAAATGAAGCCATATTCTTGCCCTGGCCCTCTAAAATAAATACTTTTAACTGAAGCCGAAACAATATGACTATATAGTTCAAAGGGATCCAAGCCTTAAACCTCTAAATTTGAGTAGACAAGGGATTTTTTTTTTTAGTATAGTTGACATAAAGTAAATCTATTCCATTAATTAAAACTCATTTCCGGGGACGGGGGGAGAGAGGGAGCGTTTGGGTGGCTCATTGGTTAGGTGTCTGACTTGATTTCAGCTCAGGTCATGATCTCACGGTTGTTGGATCGAGCCCCTCATCAGGCTCCACGCTCACTGTGGAGATTCTGTCTCTCTCTCTCTCTCTCTCTCTCTTTCTCTCTCTCAAATAAAAACCAAAACCAAAACCAAACAAAAACTTAAATTTGGGAGACAGCTGTGGTATCAGCCTTTTCCCCACTGCTCATGAATGGTAATTATTGTGGTCAGATGCACAAACTGGCTAATGAAGGGAAACATGATTAAGAGAATAACTCTTAATCAGCAAATACATGGTCAGAAACATTTTGCCACAGGACGCCGAAGCCCATGGAAATAAGAAGATCAGTGCTCACATTTCCCTCTTAGAAGAAAACAGACTACTGCCTGATAGAGGGAATGTTCTATTGAGGAATGTAGCTTCTACTTTAGATGATGCTCCATTTGTACTGAACAGAGTACTCTACAGGGACATGAAGGGAATCAGGTAAGAATTTCTTGAAGAGGTTGGTTTTACACTTTTAAAAAATAATTCCTTTTCTGAAATAAACTAGTATTGTAATCCCAGTTAGCTTCCCAGGAGAGAAATGCCTCAGGTCACCAGTTTCTGAAGTGGGAGGTGATGGGTTTCCAGTTTTGAATAACTTCACCTGGTCATTTCTAGAGCTCACTCCTAGGCATTGATTTGCCATGTTGGGACTCTGCTTCACAACATCAGCTCGATTATTTATGCCTGCTCTATAAGTTATGCCTCCAGCATCCTGTTCATATATGTTCGCTCTGTTATGAGCTAAGCTTGTTTTTTTTAATCTTTTTCTCAAGTCAGACTCTCCAAACTAGTAATTTCATGAGTCCACTTCTCTGACATATAATGACCATAACTATGAATGGAGAATTGATCTAATTTCCTGCATAGTTTCATCTAAAGCCTTCTCCTGTGCCTTTCTACCATCTTCATATCCCTATTCCTCAGCTTTACAGTAGTGGATGAAGGGAAGCCAATACATGTCCCCCAGGTTCAGCACCATGGGAACATCTTCTTCTGGAACTATTCTGTTAAGAAGAGTGGTCAAAATGGTTCATTCCTGGCTCTGCCTCTTCAGGATGCATCTATGAGGGTCTTTGGGGTCATGGCTGTTGACACACTAAGAGATCCCCAAAAAATAAACATCTTTGTACCTCATGAGATCAGATTCTATCAGGTAAGTCATGGGGGAATGGTAGGATGGCCTCTCCTTCTATACTTTTTATAAAGCAAAACCTAAAACCAGATGAAAATAAAGCTATGTATATAGATAGTGTCCTCATACTTGTTCCTGTTCACTGTGTCTGTCAGTCTTTGGAGAGGTTCTCCATTACATATGGAAGGACTCTCAGCCTCATCTATGCCTCAGCCTCTGGGAAGATTGTTAATATGTGTCCTATTGCACTAATCATAGGAACAGCATTTTATGTTGTAGAAGTGAAATCCAACCATTAGACTACTAATGAAGACCCACAAAGTAGAAATGAAACCTTTAGAAGGGAGATATTTATGTGTTGTTAGTAGGGGAACTTAGAAATCTTTTATTCTTTCCATAAATGCATCCCCATGACTCTTGGTTTCAGTGTCATGATTTTTAAGGATGAAGAATGTAGGAAGAAACCTAAATGTTTCTTGACTATTCATGTTTTCAAATTAGATCACAAAAAAGATGGGCACTTAAAATTTTTTTCAATGTTTATTTTTGAGAGAGACAGAGACAGAGAGACAGAGACAGAGACAGAGTGTGAGCAGGGAAGGGGCAGAGAGAGAGGGAGACACAGAAGCTTAAACAGGCTCCAGGCTCTGAGCTGTCAGCACAGAGCTCGAGGCGGGGCTTGAATCTATGAACTGAGAGATCATGACCTGAGCTGAAGTCAGATGCTTAACTGACTGAGCCACCCAGATGCCCCAAAAGATATGCGCTTTTAAGACGTATGACTAGACCATTTATTTCTACAAGCATTTTAATTTTATTTTATGAATAGAAATTGTGATGAAGGGAGATTGAAAGCCTTTATGAAAGTGATGCACTGGGATGTAGCAACAATCAGGAACTTGCTATACCTTTACCACTTACTCACCTCCAAGCCTTTGGCTCTTTATGTTTATTTACCACAGTTTAAAATTTTCTCTTCTCAGGGTGCCTGGGTGGCTCAGTCAGTTAGGTCCAACTCTTGATTTCAGCTTAGGTCATGATTTCACAGTTTGTGAGTTTGAACCCTGCATTGGGCTCTGTGCTGTCAGCACAGAGAGCACTGTGCTTGGGATTCTCTCTCTCTGTCTCTTTGCCCTCCTCCACACTATCTCTCTCTCTCAAAATAAATAAACTTAAAATTTTTTTTCTCTTCCCGTTTATTGGATGTATAACCAAGAAAAGTGGTGGAATCTTTTTCTCTGGACATTTAAAAAAATGTTTATTTAGTTATTTTGAGAGAGAGAGAGAGAGAGCCCAATGTGGGGCTCAAATTCATGAACTGTGAGATCATGACCTGAGCCGAAATCAAGAGCTGGACCCTTAACTGACTGAGCCCCCTAGGCAGCCCTGGACATCTTTTTAATAATATGATTCACTCTCATCTGACATGAGAATGATATAAAGATATCAAGAAGAAAATGGAGAAGTATGGAGTTATCAGTAGGTGAATTATATATAATCTTATTAGAGAACCTGTCAAAATGAAATTTACTTTTTATTTTTTTAAGTTTATTTATTTTGAGAGAGAAAGCATGTGCAAATGGGGAAGGGGCAGAGAGAGAGAGAGAGAGAGAGAGAGAGAGAGAGAATCCCAAGCAGACTCTCTGCTGTCAGCACAGAGCTTGACGTTGGGCTCAAACCCACAAACTGTGAGATCATGACCTAAGCTAAAGTCATACATTTAACCGACTAAGCCACCCAGGTGCCCCTCAACATGAACTTTAAATGGACTCTCTAGGACCTAAAGGTAAAGTGTCCTGGGTTATCCTTCGATGCCTTGGATACTATAGTCTTGGATATACAGTCTTGAAGAATTTGCGGTTCGTAGAGTCTTTTGACAACAAGACAACAGTTGAGTTCTAAGGACTTGGTCCCCCTTTTCCATGGAACAGGCTCTCTTAATGCCTATAAGAAGATTATGTTGTCTAGCATGTTGCAGGCCTTGGGCAGAGTACATCCTATACTGATCTAATGACAGAAAGCACAAAAAGATCCAGACATTAATATTGCATCATATCAGTCAGGGCAGCTCCTACCCATCTGCCCAAAGCTGGTGTTAGCTCCTGGCTTTTAAATATTTTTCCTCATTTCAAACTTTATCTTGTTCTTCTGACTCTATTCTTTGATAGCACATATCACAAATTTCACTGGATGATTATCAGGAAACATAATAAAGTTATGTGGATCTTATAGTAGATCTCTCCTTACATCTTTGATTTCTTGAGATCTTTTTTTTCATAATAGAATTCCGAACACTGCCTTTTGAGAACTGATGAATGATTTGTCTGAAGTAGATTATCATTAGTTTTAAAAGATAATCTGAATGTCTCAGTGGTTGAGTATCCAACGTCATCTCAGGTCATGATCTCGGGGTTTGTGAGTTTGAGCCCCACATCAGGCTTGCTGCTGTCAGCACAGAGCCTGTTTCAGGTCCTCTGTCCCCCTCTCTCTGCCCTTCCCCCACTTTGTGCTTTCTCTGAAAAATAAACTTTAAAAAAATATAATTCAATTGGTACATTATTTTGCTATTTTAAAAAGAAAAGACAGTTGGGGTGTCCGGGTGGTTCAGTTGGTTAAGTGTCCGACTTAGGCTCAGGTCATGATCTCACAGCTTGTGGGTTAAAGCTCCGCATCTGGCTCTGTGCTGGCAGCTTAGAATCTGGAGCTGCTTTGGATTCTGTGTCCCCCTCTCTCTGCCCCTCCCCTGCTCTCACTCTCTCTTTCTCTCAAAAATAAATAAACATTAAAAACAACTTTCAAAAAATGCAACTAAAATTTTCTGTCTCTACAAGGGTGTTGAGAATGTCTTCAGCAGTGCCTATCACTACGTCCACAGCAGGGAGCACATCCTGCATGTTGTGATCACTGGCATCGCCTGGCTCTGTGACATCACATCCAACATCACCACCATCACTACATACTTCATCGAGCCTGGCCCAACGGATGAAGGCAAGGTGGGCAGTGTCAGACCTCGAACAGAGTTTCCATATAGTATTGTCTTGCTAATATGCTAAAACCATATTTGGTAGCTATTAGACCAACTAAGGACATATTTCCATGATCCCAATTTAAGATCCTTGGTTGTGAGTGGCAAAAGTCCATCTCAAACTGCCTTAGGCAAAAAAGGGAATTGATGGACTTGTGTGACCAACATAAAGAAAGGACAGGAATCAGGCTGACTTCTAGGATGATGAGAAAGAACCAGGAATTCAA